TTTGTGAACCAGCTCAAGTAAATCTAAGATTAATCTTTTTTTGTACTTGTGAGGCGCAATTAGTGACAGTGGATGCCCCCCTACTGACCTACCTAAGGAGAGTGTGGGCAGATGCAGCAATGTGGTCTGACACCCAGTGTGGTCAGCAACAATAGAGCTCTGCAGGTGATCCTCCTATCTCCTTTTCCTCCAAAGACTTTCCACCTTTAGACATTTTTTGATGACTCTGCAGAACCATCCGCAGCTTAGTGTCACATGGTGTATGTGCCTTTGGTGGCCAATACCACCCTGTATGCTGTTGCATGCTGAGTGGGCAGACTGAGGAGGGTGAAGACAAAACTAATCATAAAAGAGTGGAACTGCACTCTCCAATGACTGTGTCAGAAAGGAGGGTTGGTGTTGTTTTTTTCTTATTAATATCTTTTAATATCAAGTATCTAACAATTGAACAAATTCAACATAGATCAAATGTACTATTTTCGGTTAAATGCACCATTAGTGTGGGCCTTCATTAAAACTACTTGACAAAGTAAAACAAAGAGGCATCCCGTCGATAGATGCACCATAACTGTCAGGGTTCTGGGAGAAAGTCTCTTTCTGCACTGCAGCTTCCCTTTACCTTACTAAAAGAGAACTAGGTTGTGATTCTACTATATTCACTAATATGGTGGATTATGTGTGCCTTGCTAGATCTCAGTAACAAATATAATCTTACAGAATTTGCTAGGGAAATGATGGTTTATCTAGATTATATTGTTTTGTATTACAAATATTTCAGAAAATCAATATCACATCCACCTGGTCCTTTAACTGCTCCCGGAAGATAGATTATCTGTCAAGGCAAAGAAGAGTGAGTCTCACAAGCCATCCGTAAACTTTTTTATAGGTTTAATCCTCAAGGGTAGGAAATTCAGTTAGATCTTGACAAGTCCAAAGTCATCCCTAAATGGCCTGTTCCTGACACCCTTAAAGATTTACTATGGTTCCTGGGCTTTGTCAATTTCTTCCAGAGATTTGCACAAAATTACAGTCAAACAGCCACCCTTTGACTGCTCTCACATCAACTAAAACTCTATACATTTTGTAGAATGAAACTAACACGCCTTCCACTCTCTCAGGAAGATGTTTTCTCAGGCTACCATCCCTATTCACCCTGATCAAACAGTTCTTGCTTTAGGTTGACGCTTCTGATACAGTATGGGGGTGGGTGCAGTCTTATCTCAACATTCAGACTCAGCTGGAAAGCTTTATCCTCATACTTCATAGTTTTGCTCATAGCTTATCACCTTCTGAAAGTTAATTACGATGTGAGACATCTGGAACCATTGGCTCTCAGATTGGCTCTTGAAGAGTGGTGTAGTGGTCTGGACTGGTTAAAAGAATCTTGTTTATGTTCAATACACTAAGTGCTTTAACTTCCAGCAGTCATTTCGGTCCTATTTTTTCTCTTGATTCAGCTTGTCAATTTCCTATCATCCTTCCTCCAAGAACACGTTTTTCACAACAGTTCTCACTCGCTGACTCCAAGGAGGAACTAGCTACCCCCCCTAATAATTCTCATTATTACTGATGTTCTTCCTAAAGCCTGCCATCTTATTTCCCCTCAATAAACTATCGTTGACTTGTCAAATTGCAAAGTAACTGGTTACAAATGTCTTCTAAGCCTGTGGCATTCCCCAGGACATCTATTCATGTAACAGACCCCAGTACATCTCTTTGGTTTAAAAAAAAGCTGTTCAGTAATTGATGCAAAGGGTTTACTAACATCTGGATATAACCCTCACCTAACCTTGCCTGAACCAAGAACTCAAATTCACCTCAACAAGCCCATCTAACTGGAGCAAGGTCCTGCCAATTTTCACATCTCCACTGCTACAGCTCTGTTTAAAGTCTCACTTTGCTACCACTTATATCTTGGCCCTTCAAGCATATCAAGGCCCCCCAAAGCAAAGTTTAACAGAATACGATACACAGATATTAAAAAACACCTCTAACATGGTATTCCCCCAGCCAGAAGTTTTGTCTGTCCGCCGTGATATCCCATGATAAATTCAGTCTCCAAGAAACTTGCTCCTCATTACAGGTGCTGGTCATAAAATTAGAATATCATGAAAAAGTAGATTGATTTCAGTAATTCCATTTAAAAAGTGAAACTTGTATATTATATTCATACATTACATACAAACTCATATATTTCAGATGTTTATTTTGTTTAATTTTGATGATTACAAATGACAACAAATGAAAATCTCAAATTCATCATATCAGAAAATTAGAATATTGTGAAAAGGTTCAAAATTGATGGCCCCTGGTGCCACACTCTAATCAGCTAATTAACTCAAACCACCTGCAAAAGCCTTTAAATGGTCTTTCAGTCTAGTTCTATAGGCTACACAATCATGGGGAAGACTGCTGACTTGACAGTTGTCCAAAAGACGACCATCGACACCTTGCACAAGGAGGGCAAGACACAAAAGGTCATCGCTAAAGAGGCTGGCTGTTCACAGAGCTCAGTGTCCAAGCACATTAATAGAGAGGCGAAGGGAAGGAAAAGATGTGGTCGAAAAAAGTGTATAAGCAAGAGAGATAACCGCACCCTGGAGAGGATTGTGAAACAAAACCCCTTCAAAAATGTGGGGGAGATTCACAAAGAGTGGACTGCAGCTGGAGTGAGTGCTTCAAGAACCACAACACACAGACGTATGAAAGACATGGGTTTCTGCTGTCGCATTCCTTGTGTCAAGTCACTCTTGAACCACAGACAGCGTCAGAAGCGTCTTGCCTGGGCTAAAGAGAAACAGGACTGGACTGCTGGTGAGTGGTCCAAAGTCATGTTCTCTGATGAAAGTAAATTTTGCATTTCCTTTGGAAATCAAGGTCCCAGAGTCTGGAGGAAAAGAAGAGAGGCACTTCATCCACGTTGCTTGAAGTCCAGTGTAAAGTTTCCACAGTCAGTGATGGTTTGGGGTGCCATGTCATCTGCTGGTGTTGGTCCATTGTGTTTTCTGAGGTCCAGGGTCAACGCAGCCACATACCAGGAAGTTTTAGAGCACTTCATGCTTCCTGCAGCTGACCAACTTTTTGGAGATGCAGATTTCATTTTCCAACAGGACTTGGCACCTGCACACAGTGCCAAAGCTACCAGTACCTGGTTGAAGGACCATGGTATCCCTGTTCTTAATTGGCCAGCAAACTCTCCTGACCTTAACCCCATAGAAAATCTATGGGGTATTGTGAAGAAGAAGATGCAATACACCAGACCCAACAATTCAGAAGAGCTAAAAGCCACTATTAGAGCAACCTGGGCTATCATAACACCTGAGCAGTGCCACAGACTGATCGACTCCATGCCACGCCGCATTGCTGCAGTAATACAGGCCAAAGGAGGCCCAACTAAATACTGAGTGCTGTACATGCTCATACTTTTCATGTTCATACTTTTCAGTTGGCCAACATTTCTATAAATCCTTTGTTTTTATTGGTCTTCAGTAATATTCTAATTTTCTGATATGATGAATTTGAGATTTTCATTTGTTGTCATTTGTAATCATCAAAATTAAACAAAATAAACATCTGAAATATATGAGTTTGTATGTAATGTATGAATATAATATACAAGTTTCACTTTTTAAATGGAATTACTGAAATCAATCTACTTTTTCATGATATTCTAATTTTATGACCAGCACCTGTACATTAATCAAAATGAGATTGAGTCACTCATCATCCCGACAAATTCCCATCCTCGTTTACCTTCTCACTTCATATCTATACTACTTTTGATGTGTACCAGATTAAATCTGTCTAGACCAGTACTTTTTGCCCAGTTTTACAAGAACCCACCACTTATACTGATTTCTGTCTTGGAGGTTCATCATCTCATCTCCAGTAAGCATAATCTCCTTTTACTCTCAAAATCCATCATCCATACACCTAATCCCACTAGTCTCCTTAGATGTGCAGTTGACCTCAGTTATCTGTCTCCGGTCCTACAACCTTATAAATCCTTGATAAAATAATCTTACATTTTCCAAATTTATGTCAAAGGGCTAGTTAATTTAAAATCTTAACAAAATAAAAAACATTATTCAGCATTTATCAAGGAAAACTATTTGGTCTCTCTAGCACACCTAAAATAGGGAATAATTTAATATCAGACAGTAAGAAGAAAAATGTTAGGCACCTTTTATATAGAAATTTTAATACTTTTTTTCAGTCAATTTATTTATTGAATTATTTTCCTCACTGCTTATGTTAATTTGGAAAAAAAATCTGTAAAAAACAACAACCTCTATAGACTTACCACTAAAATGCCAAGTCAGTGCCTGTAGGAATATATAACTATTGAATATTAAACTCTATTCAAACACTTTGTATTTATGTGGTTACTGTCATGGTTTTAATTGTGTTTGGCCCACTGTCATAATGGGCTTTAAAGATCTGACCCACATGCAGAGAACCACTCAGAGACCAAGGGTAAAAGTTAACAGGTTTATTGAGGGTTAGGAAAACACAGATGGGGAGAGATATTCTGCTGGGTAATACTGTTGGAGCTCAGCGGACTGGTGAACTGGAACCGGAAACTCTGAAGGGGAGATCACAATGATCAGTTCAGGGGCCGTAGGAAAAAAGACAGAAGCTAGTATATAGCTTGAGAGGCACTCACGTTTTGGGGGGCTCTTGGTTATTCCTTGGAATCCAATTTGTGGGGTTAAATCCAGAGAAGAATTAACTTGTTTGAGAGCGGACAGGCAGACTAACGTTGGACTCAGAGGAGTAAAGGAGCGGACTGTCACTTGTTTTCCAGAAGTTGACTTGAACGGATCATGTCAGGTTTCCCCTTGCTCAGTGTGACTCAGTTAATCCTTCCGGGGAGAGAAGGTCCAGGCTTATCCAGTGATACAGGAAGTCTTCCTGCCGAAAAACAAAGACAAAGCAAGTTTAGACTCAGAGAGACTAGGCTAAGGTTAGACTCTGCTAATCTCAGTTTGGCTAGAGTACCCAATACTAGCAAAGACTCTGGCGTCGAGGTAGTGACGGCCCGCTGCTCAAATACTCCTCTGGTAAAGACCCAACGAGCCGCAGGTGTGCAAGGAGGCTCAACGAGAACAGGGCACCATCTGGTGGTGGAGAGATGAAAACACAAAAACAAACTCGAAAACCTAACACCCACATGCATACACAGTCAGAGAACAAGAAGCAGTAAAAGAGGTTTATTAGGCCATACAGAGATCTGATTGCTCACTATGCGAGCTGCAGGCAAGGTTCGGAACGTCAGAGTTAGGAGCACTGCGGGAAGAAAGAGCAAATTGGTTAACACTAGAAGAGTAAGGGAGATCTGCACTGATGCCACCTCACTTACCGCTACGTACAGATAGCCTATCCGGGAAGGGTGACTGGAAGAAGGGGTTCTGCGACTCTCTGCTTTCCGATGGGAGGAAAAGGTTGAGCGACAGGTGTGCTAGCGGATGGGACATAGACGGGAGCCAGAGCAGCACCACAGCTGAGACAGGCACAAGTAGCAGCTCAAGGAACCAGAGTGAATCCAGGAAAGGGGGTTTCCTGTCCTGCTTGGTACCAACAAGGGAGCTTGAGGGGAACGCCAGAACAGAATCTGAGCAGCAGGGATTCAGGAACCAGTCTTCAGCGCACGGGGACACGACAGTCGAGTACTCCAGAGCATGACGAACTGAAAGAGACAAAGTTAGAACTAGGAATCCGAAACATCAAACTCACAGGTAACAAGAACTGTCAACAGGACAGTGGCCTAGGCGTACCACAACAGTCTAACACTCTGGAGCCCTTCAGCTGATTGAAAGCTCCTTTTAAGCTCCAGCCAGAGCAGCCCCAACGAGCCGCAGGTGTGGGCCACGCCCACCTGTCAACAACAGCCACCTGTGGAAGAGAATCAGCGGAGCAAAGTGCACAGAATCCTGGCAGTTACAAAAGAAAATGCCCAAGTAAAAAAACATTTTAACTGATTATTGATTTGTCTGCACTTATCTCATTAAGCAATCATATTAATATATGTTATAGACTTAGTCACTACTGTCACCTTTTTGCCACTCTAAAGAACGGTTTCACAAAACAGACCAAACCAGATAAGGGCTGTCATCACTGTCCTCCTCCCAGTGACGCCGGTGCTACAGCTCCCTGGCTTTGGTGCACTGGCTCTCACTACAGCGGTTAATCTGACTGCTCCATGTGACGCCTGTTGCCCTCATTTCTGCTGTCTGTCTCACCCATAATGGCGGTGACATGTCAAGTGTTGCAGACATTCTCTCAGCCAGACTGGCAGAAGCAGTGGTAGCACCAAGCATTAGTAATTTTATCAAGCGTAATGCACTGGTAATTTGATACATTTTTACCATTGAGTGAAGCTTACACATTTGTTTCATCCATTTAATGCTAATTATCATAGTTGCATCATTTTACATTTTGTTCATAGTAACTGTCAAAGTGCGTAAATGTGTGTAAAAGGGGGTGAAGTGGCTAACTCACATGGCCAGTCAATATAATTATATCTGCTGTCCACCTTCTCATGTTTAACAGGCTGTAGAGATGTTTTTAACACTTTCTCTCCTCCTGTAGGGTTTCCTTTGCTTCAGCACTGCACAGACAGGAGGTGAAAAAGCTTTTTGATATATTATTATTACAAATTACGCCCTTATACATCCATATCAAATGCTTTAGCCCTTCTTAGATTCTGATTCTGCTCCATCCCTACTTAACTTGCTGTGCCGATGTAACTGATGGCCCATTACTATGTAGTGCTTGCATAGCTGGTGCCATCTGCATTGCTCCATCCCGTAGAGAGCAAGAGAACATGAGCAATCAGATGGCGAGGGAGCTGCAAAATCCTCCCCTCGTAATCTCAAGCCAAGAACCAAAGCTGAAATCAATTCAGACCGATGGGACATTTGGGATTAACTAAGCACAAAGGACTGTTTTTCTTCCCCTGTCCTTCAGCCATATTTGCTTTGTGTGTGCCAGGCACTGAAGCGCTATGTGCCAGATCAGTATTCACAGGCCAATGGAGGCACAGCTCAGCAGTTTACCCCTGTGAATTCAGCAAGTCCTCCCTGATGTTTTCAAGGAGTTCTGCCACACTAAAGAGAAGTCCCAGCGGGTCACAGAGGGTGGTGTTTGTAGTTCCTCTGCAGCAAGAGACATACTCTCTCTGATATATGAGTAGCTGTGCTTGCAGCCAATAAGTTATAGATATGGTGGAAACTAGCTATCTAAATACAGCTTACTGCAGCCTTATTTTTTGTATCATTTATTGACCCTAATTGTGATAAATGATTTATTCAGGTCAGTTAGGAATGAAAATAACTGGAAGCACACATATGGATGTTGTTTTTTAAAATACCTGATATGTTGCTTCCCTGTGTGGTATCATAGAAATATCAAACCTAGAAACCAAGAAAATCTTAATTTCCATTAGTAGGTTCATCCTTGGGTGAAATATTTAGATTGCTTGCTTTCATTTGATACTTATTTAATACACTGATATTTATTTAATACATTGAAAACAGGGGTTGAGGTTGGGACCTCAAAAAAGATGTCCTTGTGCACAAATTGATTACTATCAGTTTCAATTGACTGTAAAACGTCAGAGCAAATCTAATCAAGTCACAAATCGAGACTCTGCATCACACTGCAACGTCATGCTTGCATTACTTGGCGAGTTTTCAAATCTCTTTAAATATAATTCAAATGTGTTCTACTGCAATTTGCACCATATTTATTTATTTTTGCACTGCTCTGAACCTTTCACATCAATGTCTTTTGCACCAGGTCTCTCCTTGTGATCTCTTTTGATAACTGCTGCACTTTATAAATACAAATATTCCTTTTACTGCTAAGCTGCTCATATCTTTTAAAAAAAAAAGCTGTGTGCATCGAATTAAGCAATCGCAATCAAGTTTTTCTAAGTCTAAGCAGGTATTCTTCTGTGCAGCTGAAGAATTTTTTTTGGTATTTTTCAAAAAAGGGTCATATTCTCTCAATTTTCAGTCCATAACTATGTAAAATTGTTTATTTAATCCTGTTAAGTATCTGTTATGTTGATCTGTGTTGAAAATCTGCTTAAAATAATTTAACATACTACTCGTTTAGAATAATAACAACAGCTGTTTGGTGTATTGTTATTCCATCCTGATAGAAATAACTGTTTAACAGGCTTCATAAAATAGGAAGCCAAAGTTGAAACATAACCTTCAACAACAGTGATAGTGGTAATTTAAAAATTCTAAAATAGGTTGTTTTATTCAATATAAAATGGTGAAATGCTATGTAGAAAACCTAAGCATTTGGATTAAAATGTCATCACCAATGAGCAGCAGACTGATTTTGCACAAGCAGTAAAAGCATGTCTCTCCAGATATAATTCAACTGACGATCATCTTAAGGTGTAATCATGTGCTTTGTTTTTCAGAAAAATTTGTCATCACATGCTCATACAAATTAGACAGGGAAGGAACTTCTTTTTTTTTTTACTAATGGAATGCTCTTTTGTTAACATTTGGGTTCTTATGTTTTTTTGTGTGTGCCTTTATTGTCAAATTAAGCAGGGGATAAATTATGTTCTGTTGATTTGATGGCACTGTAGATTTATGGCAAATATAAGTCCTCCAATTGCTTTGATAGTATCTTTATAATCCTAAGATGGGAAAACCTTTTTAACAAGGTGACTTTGTCATTGCAGGGTTGAATATGATTGAATTTTCCAGTTATCAATCTAATAAATGTTGCCCTTCGCTGTCAACTGGCAGCTATCTACTGCAATAAGCCTTTAGTAATGGCTGTTAATAGGGATGGCATTAGTTTTATCTTCTAATTAAAGTGTCTATTATTTATATTTTTGAATCCTATAAATCATTCCTTTTGTTTAACATGTTTCTTGGTTACTTTCATATTTATAATTTACTGCAAAAATAATGTTTAAAAAAAATTGAAACCCCCAAGGATAGAGTTAACAACTATTAAAATTGTAAATGAGTGTGGCTATTTTTCTTATGAGCCATTCTGATGAATATGAGGTAGTTGAAAAATAGGTCAGGCCCCTCTCAATATTTCTAGCCATATTTTTCCATAAATTTCAGCTTAGTGTGTTCAATTATACAGAGATGTGTTTGTATGTCAGTAAAAAAAAACACTTATCGTCAGAGGTGATTTTTTTTTTTTGCAGCCTTTTGGCACTTTAAAAATTATCTGCTGAGGATTGTAAACTGGTTTAACAGAACATACACAGATTATTTTCATTAAAGAGCAGTTTATCAATAGTAATAATAAAAAAAAATAACATTTTAAAAAAGGTAATTCCTCATTTACACTCTGTCTGATTTGTTTTGAATTTAAGATGTGTAAATCAATTTATAATATATATTTTTTTGAATTAGTATACATTGATAATAGTATAGTTAGTGTGTGTACCTTTATTGTTTTCCCTTTTATAAGTAGTTAGAGCTATGTTTTTATTAATTCAGAGAATGTTTTGTGACCAAGAGTCTTTGCATGTTCCTACTTTATAAACAACTCAACCCTTAACAAATAAACCAGATTTTGCATGCAAATAACTACTGCTTGACAATAGATCTGACTAGCTTTTTACTATTATAGATCAACAAGAATAACCTTTTTCATGGCATTTGTTTAAAAAAAAGCAGTTTTAATAATTTTACCCATAGCAATAATTTATATCTTTGTATTTGGCAGAATTGCCTTTAAATGGTTTGAGTTGGATCAGCTGTCTGTGAACCACTGATTGAACTGCTAATTGAGTAAAGTTCTTTGGCAGCTTTGCTATCTCACACCTTCTCAGCTCTGCTCTCCTTCAGGACTGAATTAAGAGCCATGTGATGATCACTTTAAACAAATTATCTGGCTGTCTTTAAACCATTTTGTTACTCCCTTATTAACGAAATTGACTATTTGGAAGACCCATTTGTACGCAAGCTTGAATTTCCTGGCTGATGTCTTTGTATGTTGGTTCAATATTTCCATGTAATGCTATTTCCTTGTGATGGTGGCAGTCAACCCTGTGGCAAACCACGACTCCCATTATGTTGCTGTCATTTCCGTCCTCAGTGGTCAGAGACCTGCTAGCTACGTCCATTTTCTCTTGAATGTAACATAGGGCAAACACTTCAAATTTGGTTTCCTCTGCACAGTGTAGAGAACTACAAAAGATGGACCTTGTGCATCTGTGCATTTGTAAACAATCTGTCTTTTTGCTCATTTTGGAAATGAGGCTTCTTCTTCTTTGAGTGGATATTTATCTCATCCAATGATTTACTTCCCTGTAGATGAAGAATGACATTCAAATGTCATACTCAGAAAATATCTTCACGAGATATTCTTTGCTATGTATATTTAATATCCACATTTCTCAACAGAAACTGTAGGAAATTTTATGAACCAGTATTATATTGTATCTTTTTAACAGACATAGCTAGTGTTTAACATTGAACCAATTATATAAACAAGCAGTCCTGTTGCTTTGTTTTCGTTTGTTTGTATTCATCGCATAATCTTTAACTTTTCAAACATATATATATATATATATATATATATATATATATATATATATATATATATATATATATATATATATATATATATATATATATATATATATATATATATATATATATATATATATATATATATATTAGACAATAGATCATATAAAGGGAATCTTTTTTAAATTAGTAAAAAAATGGCTTCATGAATTTTGTTTTTTAATTTAATTTAGATGAAGAACTAGAAGAGAAAAATATACAAATACAAGGATGTAAATCTAATCAAATTGATTTGCAGTTAATCACTTAGAGACTTTATGTTGTGCATAAATAAAAACCTATTTTTACTGCATCTCTTTTCCTTTTAAAAGCTAGCCTTCTATGCATAAACTATATGCAGGTCTGTTGGGCTTTGTCATGGAAATCTTATGTAAATGTTAATCTCTTTTTTGTTCCCCTAATGGGGAAATTCACTCTCTGCATTTAACCCATCCCCTTGGGGAGCAGTGGGCTGCCATTGTGCGGCACCTAAGGAGTAGTGTGGGATTAAGAGTCTTGCACAGGAACCCAGAGTGAAACTAAGGGAATCGAACCAGGTACTTAAAACCTTCTCAG